GCTTCAAAATTTACACTGCATATTTCAAGTAGAAACAGCACACAAGCTGGAGATCTGTGATTCAATAGTTTGAATAGTTTCAAAGGGCTGGCTTTAATACTTCTAAAGAGAACTAAATTTGAGCATGAAATAAATGTGCTTTAAATGTTTTACTGAGAAAGAGATTAAAAAAGTGAACATTACAACATTGCTACCTTTCTTTCTCTGAGTTTTTTCTAACGTCTTTAGTGCTACTTGTTCTAATTATTCAGAGAATGTTAATATGTAGAAACAAATGTGGCTATCGCTTTGGTTTTTCACTCTCTGAGTTAAAAGCTTTAATCCTTGTCTCTCATTCTTTTTCTCTCACTCACACACACACAAACACACACACACAAACACACATACCATAATGCAGTCTAGCTGGCCAGTCTAACTTGAGGTTCAAAAAAGTCAAGGTGGAAAATATGTCATAGTTTGTATGATAGCTCAGAAACACTATGGATTCAGCCTTTTTTAAAAAAATTCTTGCAGGCTTGGGCAAACATAGGCAGATGTGTGTGTGTGTGTACATACATACACAACACACACACACACACACACACACACACACACACATATATATTCTTTAGTATTGATTGATTGATTAATCAAATTTGTAATGCTATATTTCTCTGACAAAACTCTCGGTGGTGCACATATCATATAAAACGTCAGCAATAATAAAACACAATCACATACACAAAAATATGGTCCTCTCACTAAAAGCACAGAACAGCTATGTTAAACATCCACAGTGGAGCTCCTAAACTAACAACCTGCCCCCAATCTCTGGAGAAAGGCCAACTTCTATAAGGCCACCAAAGGTGGAGCTACCCTTGGAGGTGGGTTATATAGAAGACACGGCAGACAAATTCCACTTCCTAGTACTCACTGGATGACATTACTCACTGATAGAATGCAGAACCTGCCAGAACTGCTGGCTTAGGAAGAAACCATTGGTGAGATAGGATGAAAATTTTATATGAATTGCATATAATAGCTTATTGGAAGCCAGTGCAGTTCATACAGCGGGGGTGTTTTATGGGTAGCGAATCTAGTGCTATAGCTCTGTTATTTTCCCACTTGCACTGCTTTAATCAGTTCACTTGAGAGCCACTTTTTCTTCTCCAAATTACTTGTTGATTAGTGTTCTTAGAAACTGACATTCTGGGATTTTTTCAAGTGTTGCACAGCAGAGATCTAGTAAACCAAATCTTTCTGGCCCTTAACCTACCTTGAAGAAGCCTCATGTATTCCATCTTTTATGCATGTCATTCCTTTGTACAAATGCAAGGCACAAGGTACACAAAACAGATGGCATGTAGGAACCAAACAATTATGAATAAGTGGTAACTAGTGACACTTACCAGCCACTGCAACTCAGAAAAGCTTTCAGATATAATACAACACAGCAGAAAATATATTGCTAGCTGTTTCACTGTGAGCTCAAAAATGAGCACAAGAATCCTAACTGTCCAAACATATAAAGTCCAAAGTAAAACTTGTTACATCCCATGATCCCACCCACAAAACAAAACATTTTAAGCAGAAGTCTTAGCTGATTACAAGTAATAATCTTGGCAACTTTACCAGCAGGGTGAAGAAGCCAAGACTGTTGGCTTTTTCTCTTAATGATATAAAGAGCAGGCTTATGTGCTATCCAATTAAACAAAAAATCCCAAGTGATGCTTAAAGATAACCATCAAAATATTGAGGTCTATATTTCCAAGTTGGGTGAAGTTTGATCCTTGTGTAATTCATAGAATTAGGTCTTCACTCTTAGGGCTAACATAATCACCCTTTTGGTAGAGGGGCTACCAAAAGAATAAAAGAATAAAAAAGCAGTATCCTACACCAAATATGGGATGATCATGTCAGTCTGCCATGTCATATGCCACAATAGCCAACACTGTGTTAATCTTAAATGGTACACTTTATTCATCTTCCATTTTCTGCCATCTGCTTTCAAGTTTTCACATTTTGATTGAACCTCATGGAATTCCAGAAAATCTATTGACTATTCCTTGTTTACAGGATTAATCATGCTGTAAAATGACAAGATAACTTGTTACTTACTAGTCCTTCCTAGATCAAGGCTGTAGAAAGACAGGGTGAACACTATACTGAGACGAAGAACAAGGTGGCATACTCTCCTCTTACATTCTGTGGTATAAATTTATTGGGTAGACCAAACTTTCTCAACTTTAGTAACTTTAGCTATGCAGATTTCAACTTCCAGAATTCCCAGAAATGCAGGACAATTGATATAGACAGCACAAAGGCTAAAGTAGAGTTGATGATTGATATTTTTCATAATCTATTATCCTAAAGTGGTTTTCCCCTTCAGTTTAGTTTAGTTTAGTTTAGTGTCATTGCACCTCGTACAACAAAATTAAATGCCATCTTCTGCCTAATAGTTCAGCCAATCTTGATTATGTACAGTAGATCTTCATACCAAAAATAACTAGCATATACTTCATGAGAATGAGAATATAACTGATAGAATTTTTTTTGGGGGGGGGGGATTAAGGTGTAAAGTTTCCATTCATAGTAATGCTAAAGCACCAGAAACATTTCTAAGCTCCACCAAGATGCTTTTAGAAAAACGTAAGAAATTGCTAAAGCTCTTTTATTATTCTGCTTCAAAAATGCTATAATAGAAGCCTTTCTCACATTTGTGACTCGGAGCTAAAGAAGGATGTTATTTAGCTATTGTTGTCAAGAATTGTAGCTGCTATATAAAGCAGAAAGTAATCTTCCATCTGCATAAGCAGTTTATTTGATTCTTGAGTATAACCTTTACTTAGATCAAACCACAGTTAGTGCATTTATGGAAGACAATAAACTTACAATTATTTCTTTGCAGATGGCTGTTAGATGTGTCAGCCTTGATTACTAACTGTCTGTAATGTTTATAAGTATAGTTTGTTCTTCTAACTTATACTATTTTGGGACTAAAGGCTTTTCAAAAAGTAAATAGACTATTAAAAGGACATGAACGGTCTGAAACAAATTAGCAATAAAACATAGGATGCCTTTAAAATTGAGTGCTTATTTCCTTTGCCAGGAAAAAGTGTTCCATGGTGAACTACTTAGTTCTATTATTTTTTTCTGGGATAAGTGTTACTGTGCCTCTTAACAAACACAAGCTATTCATGAACATGTTTCCATGTTTCTTCTCTTGATTTAAGAAAAAAATCGGTAACAGAATTATAGCTGTCAACTTAGACCACTTTTTGGAAATATCTCTAACAATTTTTGGAACATTATATTTACTCACATACTTATTGGCTTTCCACCCACGTAAAATAGGGAGTGATCATAACAGTTTGAGAACATGTATTTTCTTAACAGGGATGTTATTATCCAATATTAATGTCAGTACTATTTTTAAATATATTATAAAAAGTGATGTCTATTGCTGGTCTATGACCATAATAAAGCTATATTCTATTCTATTCTCTCTTGGTTTAGACAGTGCCAGAAGAGTTACAGAATGGAGGAGGTTTTGGCTATGTTGTTGCCTTCCGACCAGTTGGTACAATAAGCTGGATGCAGACTGTAGTGGTTTCACCAGATGCCTCCAAATATGTGTTTCGGAATGAGAGTTTACCTCCATTTTCACCGTACGAAGTTAAAGTTGGAGTGTACAACAACAAAGGAGAAGGTCCTTTCAGCTTTATCACGGTTGTTTATTCAGCCGATGAAGGTAAGCATAGCCAAATAATCTGGCAGTGTATGATAAGCTGGTTGTTTTCAAAATGGCCTTGTGTCCCTCTTATTGTTAATGTCCACATATGCTGCTAAGAAATGGCATGTACCCAATTTTAGGTTTCATTCTCGTGTAAATTAATATTAATCATGGTGACATTTTGTTTGAAGAATGAGATAATTCATTTGAGACATGCATTATGTTACACTGCTCATTGAGAGGTTTAAGAGGACCTTTTGGGTCAAAATATTTTCACAAATTAAAATGTTAATTTTTCATTTTAATGCTTAATGGCACTATTATCAGTTTTGGCAGCACATGCAGTAGCATGTTTGCATATTAAGTTTAAACCTATTCTGAAATTATATTAGGATTGTGATAATGTTTTGTAAAGCCTTTTGATAATTGCTAACCCTATTTTATGTGTATGTATGTGTGTACATATAAACAGATATGTATAATTAATGTCTGTTGAGCATTTATTCTCTGAAGAATGGTACTGAAATTTAGCACGAATTAATCTTGTCTAATTATAAACTATTCCCTTATCTCACTACAGCAGTACATTTTACTCTAAATTAATTTTAGCAATAAAATCTTACTTGATTTTTTGAACATAATTGGATAATCCCCACAATGGAGATAATCATACTCAGCTGTAAATCATAATCTGTGCAAGTACAGTCTTTAAAGACCTGAATCTAATCACCAGAGTTTCAAATTAATCTCAAATACAGAGTTTCAAATTAATCTCAAACTCAATACCCTTGAGTTTGTCTAAAGCCAAAGTCAGGTTTTGCCTAAAATTCTGAAGATCAGTTGGCAGTCAGACTTAAAAACCGTCAGCCTAGCTCAGCCTGATTACAATCATGTTCAAAAGATCTGAAAGCTGAAAATAATCAGGGCTTACTAGCTCCTCTTCCTGAAAGAAATCAACCCTGACTATTCTTTGGAAGGAAAGATGCTGAAACTTAAAATACTTCGGCCACCCAATGAGAATAGAGGATTCATTGGAAAAGACTCTGATGTTGGGAAAGATTAAAGGCAAAACAAAAAAAAGAGATGGCAGAGGATGAGAGGTATCATCACCACAATGAATATGAATTTAGGCAAACTCCAGGAGACAGTGTAGGCAGAAGGGCCTGTTATCCTTGATGCTTGGAGTCCCAAAGAGTCAACATGACTCTTAAGAACTAAACAACACTAGCTCCTCTTTCAGTTTGCCATTTTTTGTTTGTTTCTATAGCCACACATAGTTTCATAAACATCTATGAATTCAATCATAGGATCTATACCAGAAGTGGAATTCAGCCAGTTCAGACTGGTTTGAGAGAACCAGATGCTAATTTTACATCTGGTTCGCTGAACCAGTAGTTGTAAGGACTGGCTGGCCCCACCCACCCTGTAGCGCCCCTCCCAGGTGTCTCCACAGGGCCCGTTTTGGATGCCAGGTAAGTGCAGGGCCTCTGAGAGAGCAAAAAATGGGACTTTAGAAACGGGCCCAGAGGGTGGAAAAATGGCCATGTTTTCAGGCTATTTTTCAGGCTGTTTTCAAGCCTTTTTTCGGCGTGATTTTGGCTGGAAAAACAGCCTGACAACAGCCTGTTTTGTGGGCATTTTTCAGGCCATTTTGTGAGCCAAAATCAGCCTGAAAATGGCCTGAAAAGCAGCCTGGGTACAGCCCCCAAAACAGCCTTTTTCAGGCCGTTTTCAGCTGTTTTTTGGGGTGAAAAATGGTCTGAAAAATGCCCATAAAGTAGGCTGTTTTTCAGTCTGTTTCCAGGCAGTTTTTCAAGCATTTTTCTGTCCAAAATCAGCTCGAAAAATGGCCTGAAAACAACCCAAAAAACCCTGTTCTATATGACTGGGTGCTGGGCATAAGCACAATTTTCAGAGTTCTGAGTAAACCAGGTTCTTAGGTAGCCTAAGGCCATCTGTACCTGATTTTCTCTTAATGGATTCCAAAATTAGTAGTATTTATAGGTGTCATGACACTACAGCTAATTATTGTGCTATTTTTAGAACCCACCAGAGCTCCCACCAATGTCTTTGCCAAAAGTCTTTCTGCTTCAGATATAGAAGTCTTTTGGTCTTTGCTGCCAGAGACCCAGAGCAAAGGAAGGATACAGGGCTACGAGGTAGGTGTATTACATTTTCATTCAGGTTGTGGTGGCTTATAATGTTTATTGGTTTTTAATGCATGAAGAAATAATAATAAATGAAATACAAATCTAATTGCTATCAATCAGTTTCGGGGCCATATGGCTGCATTTATGGAAGTTTCAATAATTGCATAAATAATCAGCCATTTGCTACCTCCACAAATTCCTTGAACTATGTAACATATTGTCTAAATCCTGTGTTGTGTACTATATTACAAATGTTGTTTTTCTTCTCATGCTCACAGGAACACTAAACAAATATTATTTTTAACTAGATTAAAATAAAATAAACTAGAAGTTAAAATGGTAAATTTTACTTTTATGTCCAGTACAGAGTACATTATCTTGGAAACAAGCACTTAAACAGAACATCAAGTGATATAGACAAGAAAGTCTAGAAAGGGATTATTTTCTTCATGCATGAAATAAATATTTAGAATGGCTGCTGCTTCCAGATATACAGTAGTGGCTAAAATTGTGGAACTTTTTGGAAAAAGTGTACTGTACTTTTGAGGTTTGATGGCTAATAACATTTTTGGGGGAGCAGTACCATAAAATTATATATCAATAGAAAGATAATTTAATCAAGAATGTAATGCAATAACTTTTATAAAGGATTTGCTATTAGAATACCAGCTATAAAGAAGAAAAGTGAAACTTGTAGAAAAAAATGAGATATACAAAAATTATCACCATATCAGTTAATACTTAGTTGGGTAATCTTTTGTGTTAATTATGGCCTTACAACATCTTCCCATGGAGTGAACCAAGTCTTTTAGTTCTGCAGCTGTTATAATGTGAAACCAAGTTTGAATGATTGCTTCTATTAACTGGATTTTGTTACTGGCTATATTTGGCTATAACTTTTCATAGAACACAGATAATTAAGCAAACTCTGTTGCATTCCATTTTTGATTAAATTATCTTTCCATCAATATATAATTTATGGTACTACTCCAAACAAAGTAGTGTAAATAACCATGAAAATTCAAAAATACACTTTTCCCAAAAGGTTTCCACAATTTTGGCCACTACTGTACAGGCCCTATGAAGATTTAGAAAGTGCTAAAAATAAATTCTTCAGTAACTAATGTGCCTTTATTGTTTATATTAAAGTTGTATTATTCTATAAAAATTGAATTACGGCAAAACCTCTTGGTAGTAAAGGTATTAAGAGCACATATCTTGTTTGATATAAAATCAAAAGTGTTTATCCCTAATTTCAACCATCCATCAAGAATCCAAGTAATATGGAAAGGAAGTTCCTTGCTTACCTAGGGTATATAAACATTGAAATGGTGCGAATAATTGGCCCAAAATAGATCTGCCCCAAGGAAAAAATTAACTGTCTATTAAGTTAATAAAAATAATAATAACAATGTTAAAAAGAAATGAATTTTAGCAATTGGTATTTTATCAATTACAAATGTAGCAGCATCAATTTTAACTTACATAATGTGGATTTCTTTAAAATTTAAACACACATTTCAGGGAAACTTTCATCTATTTGGAATTGTAATGCAGATGGTATAAACTTATATAGCTGTAGATTTCAAATAAGGATACATTTAAATATGTGTGCATAGGTTAGATATTGGAAACATGGAGATAAAGAAGAGCAGGCTGGAAGAATGAAAACTATGACCAATCAGACTTTTGCAAAAATCACCAACTTGAAGAGCAGTGCTTTGTATCATTTGGCTGTCAAAGCTTACAACACAGCAGGGATGGGACCATCCAGTGCCATAGTCAATGTGACAACCAAAAAGCCACGTGAGTATGGTGCATGGGGGAAACACAAGATTTTTATTTCAATGTAAGATTGTCCTCTCTTAACAAGGCTTATTGGGACCAGCAACTGTGTTGCTAAGCAATTCAGTTATTAAGTGCAACATCATGTGATCATGCTGTCTGTCTACAATCACAGTTCCAGCAATCCCAGCTGCCATCATTAGATGAATCCTGCCCAGTTGCCACATCCTGTGGTCACATGATTACCATTTGCAATCTCCTATCCGCTTCCCTAATGTTGCTGCTTGTTGAAAGCCAGCAGTGAAGTTTGCAAATGGCAATTACATGATTGTGGCACACTATAATAGTTGCCACTCTGCAATGATCCATCCTTAAGTCCTCCTCGTTCAGCATCATCATAATTTTGAGCAGTCATTCAATTAGCACTACCTGTATTTTAATTGATTATACTTCTGTGAGTGCTGCTATTTATTCAGCCTTAATTTTATAATTGTGACACAGAAAATTAAAAGCTGACCTGGGAAAATAAATATTTGTTTTCTGTTCAGAACACGGCCTGCTAGCAACTGTCATCAGTTTACAGAATTGTGGTCCAATTCTGTTTTATTATACATCTGTTTGTCATGTTGGATGTGCTGATGAATTTTAATACATACATTTGTCTATTCGTTATAAAATATACATCTTCGACTTAGAGCACCTCACATACATTACAGACAAATCTATGTTATGTAAGAAAAATGTTGCTTCTTAATAATAGTCGAACTTCTATGTTTTGTATTCAGCTCCAAGTCAGCCTCCTGGAAACATTATATGGAATTCATCAGACTCTAAGATTATACTGAACTGGGATCAAGTTAAAGCACAAAATAATGAATCTGAAGTGAAAGGATACAAAGTAGGTAATGGGCAGGAAAACATGGTTATTTGTACAGTTAATGTGAATTAATTGCAAAAAAAAATCTCATAAAATCATGCAGTTATCTTCCCACCAAAGTGATACCTATTTATCTACTTGCATTCACATGCTTTTTGAACTGCTAGTTTAATAGAAGTTGGGGCAAGTAACCGAAGTTCATCATGTGATATTTAGGTCTCATGGCCAGATAATTCCAGTGTTGCCGCCATGCCCCTTATTAAATTAATTAATTGCCACTAAAAATATCTAGGAACGTCGTGGGCCCTTATGTCTCAGCGGCATTAAAATATTATTGAAAAACAGGAATTAGCATTTGGTAGTTTGTGCAGCAAGTACAAATCCTACAAAAATACAAAATAAAGTTGCCTAAACTAGTCTCAACTTTATGTCATGGAAGCAACCCAAACAAAATTCAAAAGATGAGGGATGTTTCCTGCAACTCCTGACCTCTCAAAGCTAAATGAAGATAAGAACAGCTTTAAGAAATAAAAGCATGCGTCAGAAGTTTCTTCTAAACTACAGGAAGACATAATTCCCTCTAAAACAAGTCATTTACATTAGAGAACATAAGATGCTTTGTGCCTAGAAAAAGAAATTATTTCTTTCACAGTGTAATTCTTTTTACGCAAATATATGTTGCAGGTGTTCTATAGATGGAATAGACAAAACAGTATGTCTATTATAGAGACAAACAAAACATCTGTCGAGCTTTCATTACCCTTTGATGAAGATTATATCATAGAAATAAAGCCAATCAGTGATGGAGGGGATGGCAACAGCAGTGAACAGATTCGAATTCCAAAGATAACAAGTAAGAATATTTTGTTTATGGTATTGGTTTACCTAAGTATAAAGCATATAAGTTAAAAAAAACATACATTTCTAACTTTTTGCTTTTTACTTTTGCAACTGACTAAAGAGATAAAATCTGTTTTATCTCCAATAGCTTTAAAGTGCTAAATGGCTTTGACTTAAAAGATGCCTGAACAAGTAGAGCTATTGTTGTTCCTCATCAGATTTTGACTTCAGACTGTCCTGGAATAAATCTGTAGGCTTCTAGAGAACTCAGAAGTGTTCCATAGATGTAGCATAGTTTTAGAACTCAATTGGTAGGGATTAAAATAAGATAGTATCTTTGTGTTCCATAGATGTAGCATAGTTTCAAAGCTAGTTGGTAGGGATTAACATAAGACAGTATCTTCTTGCTGGAAGCAATACAGATATGAAACAGCTCCAACTATTGTATTAAAGCATAATTACTTTGCATTACAATTTTACATGTGAATGTCATTAAAAATCATAGTACATAAAATTGATGAAACTGATAACTACATTCTTTTGGTTTTTGGTGTGAGATGTAACGTACAAGAACAGAATATTGCCCATTTTAGGGAAAATAAAAGAGTATCTAAAATAATACTGCCAGAAGTAAATTAAAATGAAATAGGATCCTTCATAGTCACTGCCTCTTTTTCCTCCAACAAGGGACTCTGAAGGTATTCAATTGTGCACAATGAGCTACTTCCTTACTCAATAGATTTGTTGTCATAATAATGAGCAGTCTTGTTGTATTTTGAAATTCCCTAATTCATTGATAAGTCTTTGTGAACTAGAAATATTTTCATCAGATCTATGAAAAATATAGGTCATGTATGAAAGATTATGAAGACTTTATCCATGCAATTACTGTATATTCTGCCGTATAAAGCAACTGGGTGTATGAGACCATCCCCTACTTTCAGGCGCCCGCGAGTCAGCTGAAGGCCTCCGCGTTGCCGGACTTTCGTAGTTTGAGCTTAGTGCATCCTCCTCCAGACCTCCAGCCAGACCTTACTAAAACATCCCAGCACTTATCCATCCAGCCCAGGCAAGGAGCGCCGAGGTTATAAATTGAAAGGCTGGCGTCTGTGCTGGTGGCGGCGTGGCTTTTTGCTTGGCAGCATTGCTTTTTCTTTTGTTTTGGTTTTTTGGTATATCTGGCATATAAGATGACCCAGCATATAAGACGACCCCTGATTTTTTAAATAATTTTTTGGAGTTAAAAAGCCATCCTATATGCTGGAAAATACTGTACTTCTGAGAGAAAAGTAGGAATAAACTATTTTTCACAATGCTGCTAGAAAAACCATGTGGATGTCGCCTTGAAATCAAAAGACTGACTGCAAACTTTCTTTACCTTATAGAATGAAGATAGTGAAAATGACAAAAAATAATAATAATGGAAAGCTATACAAGCTGTTCCTTAATTAGGATGAAAAACGGTAGCAGTGGAAGCTTGAAATAATCTTGTCCCTTTTAGACACAATATGCATGTTTTGCAGTCTTCACATAAAAGCATTTTATCTGAAACAGCTGTGTGGAAATGTGTGTATGACATCTGAGGCAGAAGTTCCATTCATTTGTTCAGGATAAGCTGTGATATTTTAAACATCTTGATTTCTTTCTTCTCTTAGATGCATATGCGAGAGGGTCAGGAGCTTCAACTTCAAATGCTTGTACGTTGTCAGCCATCAGCACAATAATGATTTCCCTCACAGCAAGATCAAGTTTATGACAAAAAATACTGAAAGGACTTCCTGTTTATAATATAACTAAGCAACATTTAGCTAGTTGTTTTGAAGCCACCCAGTACTAAGTAATATTGTTGTTCAAGTACATCTTACTACTGGAAAAAATGTTTTATGCTTCTCTAGGAATGGCATTATACAGTACTTTCTCAAAGCAAATATATCTTTGTCTGAAGTTTCCTTGGAAACTCTGCAATGCACTGAAAACATCTGTAATACGATGTTACCAAAGCAGTTTACATATGTCCTTATATGCATATTTTTATTATATATTTAGTGTTTTATAGACTTTTTTAAAGTTAATATATGATGTAGATACTGATTTCTCCCCCCCCCCTCTCTGCTATGAAATGCTATTGATGACATTATCATTGCATAAATATATAGTTTGGAATGTTTCAGGCCAGATGGTCATAATTGTCAGTAACTGATTTCAAATTGATTGTATAAGTTGACAAGAATGCACAATGAATTCTTTTAGCTTCAGTCCATTTTTCCAGGGGTATGTGTATTTGTGTGTGTCTATTTGGACATGGAAAATATTCCCACAGGTATTTAATGAAGCCTGCATTCTCCTTCAGGCCTAAATTTGCTGTACTATGCACAATGCATTACAATGCTTCAAGAAAAGAAAAATCACTTATAACTCAACCTTTGCATTGTGGTTCACTCTAATTCCCACTGAAGAAGAAAGATAGCTAGAATAGCTAGATGCTAGATAACCACAACAAAGCATAAACTTTATGTTCCTTGCCAACTAGGACAGGTGTCTAGAGAATGGGGCAGGCAAAAGGCAGACAGAAAAAAGAGAAAAATCCCAGTATAGTGGACATACAAGACTGCCTTTTTATCAGATAAATAAACCACAAGTAAAACATGCTATGCTTTTAGGTTTTGTGAAAGTTCATAGCATTCTTTCCCTTATGATAATGTTTTGGTAACACATAACATTTTTTTTACCTGAATGTACTGATTTACATTTCTATAAAATTGAAGGAACAATTATCATTCATTCCTCTTAGTGTCATCACTCTTAATGTAATGAATGCCAGACATTGCTACTAGATAGCAAAGGATAAGATTCTGAGTGTGGTGAAAATCTGAAAGTTATCAGTTCACCAATTTGTTAATCTTTTATTTAAATAAATGAATGAAATTCTGCATTTTCACCATTTTAATCATGAAATCTTGAAGACTTTAAATGCTGCTTTCTTTACTAAATAAATTTATTTTGACAGGTACATGTAATCTACAATTCTTTATAGATTGATTTCATAAATTATCTGTGTTCTTCTATATTGATAGGATCTTACTTGGCTGGGGGTCATTTTAAAAGTCTGATAAATAATATTCTGCAGAATTTTTCTCTAAAATTACTTTTCTTTTTAAAAACAATTTGTATGTCTAGATATATCATTGAATTTCAAATAGTTTAATTCTGGGTGTTCTGAATATCAAGGTTTAACTTTCAGAGTCTGTCACATCTACATCTCTATCATGTTGATAAACCCCCAATTAAAATATGACAAATGAATTCTAATCTTCATATATTTTTTTTCATGCTGTTGCTATTTATTGCATTAAAACCAGTTCTGGAGCAGAGTTTGTTCATACTAATCCAGTGTCCTGTAAATGCATGTAGTTGCTGTATTGCACCTACAAATCTGCTTGGGCAGAATTGTCTGCATGCACAAGAACACTGGATAATTGTCAAAAATTGCAAAAAAATATATTAATAGAAAAAGATTTTTGTTACTATGGGAAATATTTTGTAATTATGCTCAGATGAAACAATAATAATTCAAATTAAAATGACTTTTTAAATTATTTTCCCCAACTTTAAAAATATACTACTGAAGTTTATAATTTCTTCTTCTTAATAGTTTAAATCTTCCTCTAACTTGTCTCTTTTGCTTCCAAAAAGTACAAAGTAACTTTTAAAACATTCAAAATATATTTATTAAGTAACCCATAATCAGGTTTCCACTTGTGTAAGTTAGGGATGTTAATCAGAGAAATATTGTCAGTATTTCAAGCTGTGTTCCTTTCTTTGTTTGATATGGTTACTTCTATGTAAAAACAAAAACAAAACAAAAAAACCCACAAAAGAAAGAAAAAAAGAAAAAAAAGCCTATGTAGTTTTTCTCCCCAGTGTAAATGATATTTATCAGTGATCTAGCAGATGTAATCTTTTTTAAAGTTATTGGTAATAAATATCCTGTTATTTGTAAAGGTTCTTGTCTCTGTGGATATGTTGCTTGCATTCTTACTGGTTTCAGTAAGATTCCATGGCACCTTGATTTAAAAAACTTACAGAAAGTCTTTGAAATATTTCTCACTTGCACTATAAACTGAATTGTGAAAATGCATTACACAGTGGGTTGTACTCAATGTTTGTCAAAGCAATTCTAACTACAAACACACACAGAGAGCTGAGGTCCCATTCCTCACTGAAAAGCCATAGTAATAACATCAAGAGGCAATCCAGAAACATTCACACATCATCATTTACTAGAGGCTTCTCTTTGGAAAATTGTCCTGCTATAAACTAGAATAATCCACATACAGATTTTGCAGATGATAATAATGAGGGTTCTTTGCAGCCCGCAGGCTGGATGCATCACACGCAAGCTATGCCCAGCCCAGTTCTAGAAAAGCAAAAAAATGATGTGATATGTCATGTGATGCAATCATGTTTGATACCTGTGGTATAAACCCAATGTAAGGAAGTCTACAAAAAATCTTTAACTTTCCTAAAATCCGAATATTACATCATTTTTGACTTGCAAAAGAGAAGAAAACTCCTTAATTAACATGGTGACTATGGGAGGAGACACAGGATTACTTCACAGTGTGAGTGAGGAGCCCCCATCCCATAAATATGACCTTTTGCTCAGTTTTAATATCAATGCTGCTTAGACAAGCCAATCCATTATGTAGACATATAACAAGGATGTACATATTGTGTTGAAAAACTGACTGGATTAGATATTTACATAAAAAGACATAGAATTAAAAGGAAAAGAATATTCCTATAAGGGGGCCCAAAAACATCTATATGGTAATCAGACCTGGGAAAAAATTATGTGTCGCCACTCTC